TTTGAAATACTAATTTCATCTTCCTATCCACTTGTCAATCTGCAAATCACAAGGAAAAGCACATTTGGAACTAATCTGAAAAAGGAACAGTTTAGGAAATATCCATAAACTGGGCAAATCTGAAGCAAGTATGTTCTAGCCTTGTCTCATTATCTTTGTTTTCCTAAAAACCCTATCATCGCTAAAGAATTTAATCACAAAAATGACAAGTAGCTGAAAGTATGAATCAGACTGGCAATGAATAAAAAGCCATAGGGAAAACATCCATCTACACAACCCTGAAAAAAGACAAATATAACCAGTCCCCTGGAGTTTGAGTGCAGACCCAGGCTGTGTAAGTTGTCTGCCTGCAATGAAACCTCCACCTTTGAATGGATGACAGCATCTTGGAAACCACACGTCACCCAGAGCCCCAAGTCCCCACTGTTTTTAATCCAAAATTTAGACACAAGCTCATTCCAGCCTCTTGAATTTTCAGATAATTAGATTATTTGCCTGTGAACACGATAACAAGCCACGGTGCAGAATGCCAGCCTAGCAAACGCTGGGATATCACCATGCACCTGTGTCGTCCCTGCACAAATACCGCAGAAAGGGGCAGGCTGGACACGTGCCCAAGCACACACATGGACATCTGCTCTTTCATTTGCTCTTGACAAGAGATTTGGCTCTCCGCTGCCAAATAAATCTTTGGAAAAACTCTCATAAGGATCCAACTCCTGCAACAAGGCACGAAATGTCAGTGTTACAAGACTCACTGTACCTCTCCAGGGGACACTGAGAGGGTGCCAGTGAAGGCAGCATGGGAAAAGCTCCTTGAACTTTTCCCTGGGGCCAACATTGGCTAGGGCAGCTGGGCAGCCCTGTACTAACCCTAACTCTGCTTGCAGCACTGTTGCAGTTCACCTATAAAAAGGTGATACCTCCTTTGTACCTGCTCACATCTTCCTGAAATTCCCTCAGTCGAATCACAGCAGAGCGCCCTAATAAGGAAAAACTCTTCCTTCTGAGTCTCAGCAGACCAAGTATAGAGATATTTGCCTGTGCTCATAAAAAACAAGGAATGTTTAATTTAATTGCCTTTACTTTTCAGCCTGCTTCAACAACATAACTCATTGCACTATACTGCAGATATGGGCTTGGGAGAGATTTAATTCTTATCTTTAGATTAGCTGATAACACAAATAAGCCTGGCTGATTTATTGAACAGCAATGTGCCTTTGATAATAGTATTTGCTTTAGCCTCTTCTTTGATTAGAGAATTTGCACACACACAAAGCCTGTGTCATTAAATTGAGGACTTTCTTTGTGACTTTTCTTACCCTATGAAGAGCCAGTCCTCTTACTGTTTTCCAGCACCTGAAAGGAGGCACTTACTTGCAAGCAAATAATGTTCTCCAGGTGCTCCTCCTGCCATACCAGCCTCACCCTCCTCTCTTAACAATCCTGACGCTCTCTGCGGGCCTTTGTGCTTCTAGAAACAGACAGAAGTTTTGAGCACAGCCCTCAACTCAATAGCTGGTTCCAATCTTTCTACGGAGCACAAGAACAGAGAAAACACAAAAGCAGCTCTGACGAGGTGGGCATTGCGCCTGAAAGAAGATGAAACTCGCAGAGGAGAAGTTTGAGGCCACTATTCATGAAGCTCTCACACTTTGTGCTTGAAAATCTGCAAGTACTCTAAACACGTCTTGAATCAGTGCACAGAAGACACACGTACTGCAGCTAACCATCACGTGCCTCCGCAGAAAGAAGTTGTCCTCCTTCACTGAGCAAACAGTTGAGCAGTTCCTGGACTCCCCAGGCTGGACTCACAGGTGCAGAAAGCAGAACTGCCACTTTCAGCTGAACCTTGTGAGTGCATCCCTACCTCCTGCCCACACCGGGAATCTTGGTGTTCCAGTCATTTAGTAAACATTTAAACCGGAATTGCTTTCATTAGCTCTTTTTACAGCACTTCAGAAACACTGAAAATGTTAATGGCACAAATATTCAACATCAGCCCCGTGCCTGACCTCGAAAGAGGTCCAAATCCTGGTACACATCTTCCTGTCAAATTCCTTATTTCCCCTCTGACCTTCCTTCAGCCAGCACAGAAAGTCCTTCCAGAAGCATGAGGGCTATCTAGCTGTGAAGGCAGCATCCTGGATGTACCTATCCATCATTTTACAATGACAAGTCTAAAAATAGTTAGGTTGTTTGGTAAGGCTATGTCTGAAATTAATAATTGCAAAGTTTCACTAGTAAAATTCCTCAAACATATTTTGTTTTGCATCACATATGTTTTCCATGGATATAACTATGTTAAGAGCTCATTTTTTGGCAGATTATTCAGTATTTTAGACTGAAAAAGAGCAGTCAGCAAATAGCCATTTGAAATAGGTAAAAGCCTTCCCTGATTTTCTGCCTCTGATTACTCTGCTTCACAATTTGAGATTTCTTCCATTCAAAAAATGATTAGATACATTGTTTAATAAATGTCATACACGGAACTGCTTAAGTAGGCATTTGATTTCCTTCAAGCTCCTAAATCTTGTTTTTTACTTCAGTTGCTTCCATGGGAATGACTTCTGCCTATGTTATTGCATGCAGTATGGATTTTTCACCATTGCTGTTCCGTTACCCAAGACACACAGTTGTGGCATGATTTCATTCTCAACTATTTCTTTGCAAGATGCTTTAAATCATAGAATCATCAAAGCATTTAGGTTGGAAAAGACCTATAAGATCATTAATCATCAAACTAACACAACCACATCCACCACTAAACCTCAGGGAAGTAGTGACTCCACCACCTTCCCGAGCAACCTATTCCAACCTCTAACCACCATTTCTATGAAAAGGATTCTTCCAGATATCCAATGTAAACCTCCCCTAGAGCAACTTGAGGCCATTTCTTTGCATCCTATCTCATGTCATCTGAAAAAAGAGACTGAAACCTCCTCACTGCAGGAGTTGTCCTCTTTTTCAGGATGTTATAGGGAGCAGTGATGTTCTCCCTTAGCCTTCTCAGCTCTGGAATAAATAGCCCCAATTACTACTCCTGCTACCCAGTGAGTTACCCCTCATAACACTTGTTTTCAACTTCCTTCACCATGGTCAGTTCTCTCTTCTAAATGCTTTCCTATCAAGTCAGTATCTTTCTTGTAGTGGAATGAAGTAAAATTATAAAGTAAAATTACATTTTTTTCCGTATTATGGTATATTTCCCTTCTATAGTTTTTCAAAACACACACCTTGCCAACTGTTTCTGAATCAGAAAAGTCTACAAACCTTTGCCCTGTTCAAATAATTTAATTGGTTTCACACAAGACAAAGAGAACCACAGACCCATTGTGGTTATCAATAGTAAAAGTTAGGTAAGTTGCTGCTTGAACAAGGGCTAAACTTAAAGCTGAGTTCTAAGGTCACACAATGCTACCTTAAGATTTGAATTTGTGCTTGAAGACCAAGTACTTGCCAAAGCTTTGGCATGTACTAACTGGCATAGTGATTGGGTAACAATTGTGTATTGATGCAGAAGGCTTAACTCTTAATTGCAAGGAAATAGCTAATTATTTAAAGACAGATAATAATTGCAAAACAGTTTATCCATGAGTGACTAATGGGTTTTGCACTTCCTTGAAGTGCATGAAGTTACATTAATACAGAAAAGAGTGTTTTAGTTCTAGGCATTCCTCTGTGACAGGAATGTCCAAGCAGTGACTGCCCAGGGACTTGGTCGTGGTCCTACAGCCATTTAATCTTTAAATCCAAAGAGGACCAATCACACATCACTTACCAAAATGGGGATATACAAAGAGGGAACATTGTCTTTCTCAGCTACATTTCCACAAAGCTTCATGACTGGAACTACAAATAGTGTTTTCCCCAAATTTCTTCAGCTCCAACGTTCACATTTTTTCAAGCTTTTACCAAAACTTTTCTAAACTAAAACTTTGGCAGTGACACCCTGCTAGAGAAGCAGAGAATAGGTGTAGGGTTTGGTGGATAATACAGGACAGACTTGGAAATACTCCCCATTTACCAGCGGTACATGTTTCTTCATGTCCTCTGTGCATCTGACTTCTTCTACATCAGTTATTTAACGTCTGCTTTGCAAATCTGAGCCCTCATGTGGCTTTGTTGCTTACAGTCATGTATCATGTGGCCCTTTTCCTGTACTGCCTTGTTATCAGTAAACTGAGGAGCCACAGAAACTGCAGAGCCCAAGACAATGGCGAGATCATTTTTTTTTTGTGGTTCTCGTCTCTTGCAGCAGTTCTTTGCCAGCCATGGCAACGTGCATCACAGTTAAACCATATGGATTAGAGGATTCTCCAAGGAGTTATACCAGTGCAAAACACGAGTAATTTCACTAAAGTAAGAGGTACACTGGTCCTGAACCACTACTGGAAACCATGAAAGAAATTATATAAAATGAAATAGATTACAAGGGGAAAAGGCAGGTCTAAATTGGCTATGCCTTGCTTTTACAGAACACTAGATGAGATGGAAGAAACATGGAAAATAAATAGAGCACAGCCTACAATTTTGTTGTACTGAATCCTAAAGTTTTAAAATGCTATCAAGAAAGAAACAGTGATTGCAGTGCTATTTGGATTTCAGAAGATGCAATGCTCCGTGCACATTCTGATGGACTTCTGTGATGACATTTGCATTTTATATATATGGGAAATAAATTATGTGCAACTAGTACAAACATATGAACAAGAGCCAGGGCTCTTCTGGAGGGATTTCAGGGACAGCAGGCCAGGACTTACTTGGACTCTGTTTCAAAACTTACTGGAAAGAGAAACAGCTCTGTACATCAAAAAGGTTGGAATAACGAAAAAGCAGAGGCAGTTCTTTGCATCAGTAAGTGCCAGTCATTAACACCTCACTTTGGTGCTCTCACAAATTGCTAGAACATTCCAAGGGTCAGTTGCAGGGAACCCAGGAAAATCGTATAACGCCAGAACTTTTAAAACAGAACGTTTTCTAACAGCGTAGGGCAGTACCTGTTGAAGTTGATTGGGTACAGGATGATATCCTCAGGTGCTCTGCCATCCCACTGGATGATGTAAGCCTGCTCCAGCATGACGACTGGCTGGTACTGCTGGTACGGCGCTCCTCTGTTCACGCCTTGCAACTGCAAGGGATGGGAGTGGTATGCTGCTCTGGCAATGGATAAGGTCAGATTCTCAGGGCGCCTGGCCTGAATATAAAGCTGAGGGTAAAAAGAAAATGACAAACACGTCCATTAAAATAGCCAGGCTCAGCTGTAACATGTGCATTTGATCACTGTTGCCTGTAAATGGTTTTGCCAATGAAGAGCGCAGAACATTCGGAAAATGACTGAAACATTTCCAGTTCAAATGAAAAGGTAAAACAGAAATAGCATCTGCAGCCGTTTGAGGGGACACCGTGAAGTGAGATATGAATTGTACAACACCATGGAAATGTTAACTGTTCAGACTCAAGGACAAGATTGATCAGTGAAATATCACAAAGTGGCTGTTTCTTATGAATTCAAATTACTGCACTTTAAAAACAGCCTTATTCCATTGAAAATATAGAAAAGTCTTAATGAGTTTCTCCTGGCTTTGGATCGGGTCCAGTTACCTAATGGAATCCACACCTTCATCTTCAAGAAGCAGAAAAGGCTTAAATCTGGGGGGCTAAAATTCAACGTCTTGACTCGGTGATCATACAGACCAAATACAACATTGTATATGCTACAATGGGGACCAACAGATGACCTTGATTCAACACCTGTGCTTTTTCTGTTCTTCTTTGATTCAAACGAAGGCCAATTCGTGTGGCTGACGTTATCTTTAAGGTTCAGTGCATGATGTTCACCTGCTTCTCCCTATGTGAAATACTAGCACAGAAGGAGGACACACAGCTCATTATACAAATTGGTTTCAGCACTGTATGAGATGTAGCTCACAGCTTGTCATGTTCCCTGAAAGGTTCCAGGTGCGCTGAAAGCAGCTGAGAACAACTGCAATCCTTCTTCCTCCGCTCTTTTATAATGTAGAACAATTCTGTTTGCATAAAAAATAAAATGTCTTCTAATAATACACGAGCACATTCAGCACAATTATTTTTAAACTCAATTTTTGTTTTCCAGCAGATTTTAATACTGCAGGCAAAACTAGGAGAGGGTGACACAAGGTCCATCAGATAGCCTCCTCTCAAAACAAGACTTTGCAAGCCTGGCCTCTCCTATCTCCATATCAGCTTCTTATTCCTTTTCTTGTCTACACAGATTAAAAGCTCTGCAAAACAGATTGCCTTCCACTAGTTTATATATAGGATTCATTAGAAGTATATTGTAATACTAATGATAAGACATCCTTAAAATACAATAGGAATTGCTTTTCTGACTCCAAAGCGCAATGAAGAAGCAAATATTCCCATGACATTTGGTTTGTCTTTTAGTCACAGCATGTCACAGCATGACAAGTGACAGATTTCCATTCCTTCCTCCTTGGAACATAGTGCCTTAGCCACTGCAAAATTCATCTGACAGAAAACAGAGGTGATGTGTCCAGCACAAGTGTCATTTAACCCGAAGAAATGCATTTGTGACTGAATTTAAACAGGAAATGTCTCAAGAAATGTAAGAAAATGTTTAACTAAAGCTGCAAGTTTTCTGGAGGTTGCTAATTCAGTTCCTTGGTCCAGTGTCATGTTCAGAAGAACTTTTGCACTTGTACCTGCTCCTGGCATTGCATTTATGCTCCACAGCACCTCCAAAACATGGGTCATTTCAGCCTAACCACCCCTCACCCCTGTACTAAGCATCTTCATGCTGAATGCTTGAGTGAAAAAATTGGGATTTGTGTCAAAAAACAATCTAGAAGTGGTAATAAATATTTCTTCGATATTCAGTCCATTCCTCCTTTCACTCCAGTGCAGCCCTGCCTGTGGCACTTCAGTGATGAAAGTCTGTCCTTTGTGGAATCCACACAGATCCCTGGAGATTAAAGTTGATTCCAGAACCATATTAAACACTAGATTTTCCTTGATGGCTGAAACCATGGATCAATTTGCTCAAACAATACCCGAGCAGCAACCCATTTCCTCACTCTTCATGGATCGGGGAAGAATAATTTGTTGTGGTTTTTTTTTTTTTTTACAGTATGATAAAAGACTTTTTTTTTTTATCTCTGAAACCAAGGAAGAAAACCTATTTTCCATTCACATTAAAACCGTAATTGAGAAGTCGATTATGAGCAGTGCAATAACCCACATTTCGATCCCATTTTTCCCCACCCTGATGGAGTAGTTCTGGGGTCAGTGTAGGTGGTCAGAAAGGTCCCTTCAGACCTGAAATCTCATGAATGTATTAATCATTTTCGATCAGAACAGCGTTTTCTGATAAAGAACAGTGGGAATGAACACTGAAAGTGCAAAGTAATATCTCACTTGTGTCTTTCTGGATAAGACACAATCATTTCTGTCCTATCTCTGTAAACTGAAGTTGTGATGTTATTTCTTTCAAATATTTGTATCCAACAAACATAGAACATTAAGGTGGCAGCTGCAGTGCACTTACTACCAATTAAATGCAACAATAGCTGAGATGCCTTCTGCACAGCTCTCCAACCACAGTCTTTTTGGCTTGGTTCTTATACTCACCAAGGTACAGAGAAAGTAGCACCCCACACTTCCCATTTATCCCTTCCTCTGGGCAGAAGGAGGAAGAGGAGGAGGAAGAGAAATTACAAGCTAATGGAGTAGGAAAAGCAGAGAGAGTCAAACATTATAAAATGGGATCCTGCTACTTGTCTGGATGGTTTAACGGACATAGTTGTCATTGTAGCTGCTTAACATTTCATGCTAAAAAGATGTGTCAGATTTCCCTGTGCTTACATGGCAGTTTTCCCAAGAAGACTGTGAAACTGAGAAGATAAGTTCCTTTACAATTCATGGGGATCTGCTATTCAACTGGATAGCCAGCAAGAAGATAAGCAAAATGCAAAGCAGTGAAACAGAAAATCTTCATTGCTGAGAGAAAGTTTGGTGGTGTTTTGGTTTCTTCGACATTGCTTTTGTCCTGCTGTGCTGTCAGTTGTAAAACTGGGGTAGAATGTCTTAAAAATGAGAAACTTGAAACACATCTATTCTTCTAGTTCTTCAGTTGTTCAGAAAAAGATCATTCCTCTGGGAAACAATTTTTCTCTATGAACTTCTAAGTGAAGACTACAAAATTATTTCATAAAGAAGTAGTATTTTTTCTTCCTATTATACATGTCGGGACCAATTTTAGCCCTAGAAATAACAGCAGCTTTGCTAACATCAGCAAAACTATTTTTATTTTCCACTGGTGTACATCAGAGATCAAAACTGGACCTCTTCATCCAAATCTGGAGGGCATTAGCTGAAAAATAGTTTGCAAGATTTCCTTCTTCCCAGTCTGTGTGATGCTCCTCAAACACCACACACTGGGATTGTACAACTTTGTCTGGGCATGGAAAAACACCATTGCTATCCACTGCATCTCTAGTTTGCTTTAGTTGTAGAATTGTCATTGCCAAACCCAATACCAACTGAACACACATAACTTACAGTTGCATGCATGTAATTGCAAACATTGCAAAAACAAAGCTAATAGAAGTAGAACAACTTCTATTTCAACTGAACATGGTAAGGTAGTGACTGGGTGGAGTGAACTGATTAAAAAATAAATAAATAAAATCAAAAGAATTACCTAAAATGTTTAAAACAAGCAAAGAATCAATTTTGTTAACTCAAAAATGGCACTAATTTTGCTAAGTGGCAGCCTTACAACCATCTAACATCTTTTTAAGCTACTAAAGGAAAATAGCATCTACTGCCAAAAAGCTCAGCCTATTTTAAAAAAAGACCTGTCCCAAAAAAGAAAAGTTTCACAATCTGTCCTGAGTTGCTCTGAAGTCTGCAAGGAAGCAGTAAGCTTCAACTGCCCACTGGGAGCCAAGGCACTTCTTTTACTATGCATGTAAAAAACAGAAATGGTTTAGGAATCTCATTCACATTTTCCACAAGCAACACAGGGGTTGAGATGTCTCCAGGTCAATGCATTTGGAAATCTCACCCACCTACATGGAGATAACTGCGAGATGGACCTCTCCCTACGTTTTTCTTTTATCATCAGCCTCTGCTGCAGCTGTAAATCAGGTTGATGGGATACCAAGGACCTCAGTGCCCTGCTGATAGAGACTGGGTGACTCACAGAAATCCCCAGAAGCTATGGTGCTGCCAGGTCTTGCAATTTCCTTGTCTCCTTCTGTCTGATGCTCTTCCCCAGAGCCTCACTTTATATCACATGAGTGTTTTAGCAGTCATTAAAAATAAAATAAGCTTGTCTTGTTAGGACAATACCAACCTTACAGGCTTCAGAATCAAAAGGGAAGGACAAAGAGGCCTGATAGTTCCTGCCTGTGTTAATCTTGTGACCTTAAGCTGGTCCCATAGCCCTTTTTTGGCAGAGCAAGGCAATGCTGAAGTCAAAGCACAAGGCATTTCTCAGCACTTCCCACTACAGGAAGCTCCCAGACACCACACGAGGAAGATGCAGAAGGAGCCACGAACCAGCCATGGAAAGTCAAGTGGGAACGTCAGCCCAAGTTGCCAGACTAAAACATCTTCAGGAAAGTGTGTCTCCAGGATTTTGTGGAGCTAGAAACGCTGCCAGAGGAATGGGTTTTCCCCTTTCTGGGCAAATTTTGTCCAGAAGAAGAGCAGAAAAGAAACCAGAAAGGAATTAACTGAACTCTAGGCATTTTGCTCAGGAAGAATTTAGATGTAATGTTAGCTGAAGGACTTGGGTCTTGTTTTTCCATGCCAAGAAGCCCTTCCCTAGTCTATCTTGGGCCCATTTCAGCTGCAATGTAATGTTTCCTTGAACTGAAAGGACGTTTTCACCTGCTTACACGAGGGAAGAATAAAGGTTCTTGTGTACCAGAGCTACAAGAGGAGGAAAAGAAAAACATATTTTGTAATAGGACTACCAAGATCAAAGCAAAACATCTTTCTCCTTAGTTGGATCCAATCTTTTAAGCTTTTGGTCTGAAATACAACACCCAGAACTCAGCTCACAAACAAATCATCCACTTCTAAGGATGCTGAGAACCAAGGTCAAGCTGAAATCTTCCATCAGATATGCCCTCCACATTAAATCAAATGCTGTTGCATGGGACCAATTTCTTCTGCACTGCACGCACATACATTTCCCTACCCAAAACCCATAAAGTTAATGTGAACTTCACTTATCCTGCTGGATGCTGATTAGATGAAAAATGCTGGTAACAGATCCCAGAGAAGCAAATGTTTACGCTTGCCTAAACCTAGCCAAGGAAATTTTCTATGGTGGAAAAACAGTCTCACCACGTAGAGTGCCATAGTTGGGAAAGTATTAATAGACATAAAAATATAAATGCCTACTTGTTTACAATTCTGAGTTTAACTGTTAGGTTGCCAGAGCCTGGAATATTATTTCCTTAGGGACACAGAGGAAAATGCAAGTGCCAAGCACAAAAACCATTATTCAGTGGGGCTGTCTCTTAGGAGCCCAATCCTGTTTCCACCTAGTCAATAGCAAACCAGAGGACACAAATCCAGTGTCTAGATACTTTAAAAGCAACTCCTGATAAAGCAAAACAGTAAAACTATACCCAAAGTATTATTCTCCTGTTATCTTTTTGAGCATTCAATGGGTTTCACCCCACCACCCCAAACAGAGCATTTGGGGACTCCCACCCAACACACAGTGACACTGCATGCAGCCACCCCCTTACCTGTGCATATCTACCAGTGCACATCACCCCATTCCAGCGAGGGACGGTGACACAGCCGGGATGACGGAGCAGGTAGTTGTCTGCTCTGCCTACAAAAATGTTGGAATATCCTGTCACGGAGCCATCCAGATCGTGGAAGACAGACATTTTGTCACCATCATTATCATTATTTCCAAACCACTGGCCTGCTCTGCCAAAAAACACTTTCAGTCCAACCTAGCAGGAGACAATAAGAAGACAAATTGTAAGGGTTTGAACTTGCAGTGTTTTAACAGCCAAGAGAGTGATACATCTAGGACTAGATAGCATTGTCGTTTGAGCAAGAATTTTGCTTGGTTATTTCACTTAGATTTCTGGCTACATTGGTTTTCACCCTTCAATTGCAGGAAATATTTTTGTAAGAATTAGACTTTGAATTGTACCCACAAAACCATTTATTTCTTGAAATCACACAGCAGTAAGTTGCACTGAGCCAAAAAGAAGAGGATGACTCAAAGGGAAGGGAAGTCCTGGAAGATTATGAAATTTACAGAGAAGTAAGTATCTTTGACCCTGGTTGTAATCAAAGAAACAAATGGTGAACTTTCTCACATATTTCCAATGGCTGTTCTGATTCTGTGACACAGAGTTGCCCAGATAGGTGGTCGGTGCCCTGTCCCCGCAGACACTCCAGTCAGGCATAGATGGGGCTCTGAGCACCTGATCAGCTGTAGTTGTCCCTATTCAGAGCAGGCCAATTGGGCCAGATGGCCTTGAAGGGTCCCTTCCAACTCAAACATTTCTATTATTTTATTAAGTATTTTTTTAAATATTTTTTTCCCCAAAAAACTTTTTAGAATGCATAGAACTGACAGCAATTCTCAGAATTGGTGCTTGTGTATATCCTAATCCTCTGAAGAATATTTTTTTAGGCAAGAAAAATAACAAGGAAGAGTATTATCATCATTGTGCATAGCTCTATTTACAAAATTCTTCAGTAGATAAATAAAAGATTCTGTCCTGATATGAAAATACAACAAAACAAGGAAGCTGCAGATGTTCACCAAGAAGGCGTGGGATATTTTAATGCCTGCAGAGTAAACTATTGCACTGTGTGATGATTAATTTCTGAGGAAATCAAGACAATAGTTATTCCAGGTCGTGTGCACAAAAAGAACCCTGAAGCAACGTATATTGAAAGAGTCAGCATAAGTAGCAACTTGAGCATGCTGGCCCAAAGGACTATAATTCATTCCGTTTTGCTCAAATAATTTTCATTGGACTGTTCACAAGAGTAAGAATTAGGGTCAGCAAGATTATGCTGCAAGTTCACTAAGGAGTTTAAAGGCTTTATTTGCACAATAATAAATAAAAATCTTAGTAGAACTGGAGGGGCATTGTGGTTCTCAGTTAGATGGAAAGCCCCACTGGCTTAAAAAGAATGACTACTGTAACAAGAACGACTTGCAGAATGAAGCAGCAAGAGCCGTACATTGCCCTAGTAAGTCTTTACTAAAGCTAAATTAAACCCTAAATCCATGTTTTTGTCACCTCCTTGTTTGTTTATGAGGCTGATACTTAGACACCTGAAGCTCAAACACACAGAAATTCAGTGTGTATTTTTCAGTATATTAATTTTTTTTTCTTACTGCGCTGCAGGAAATTTTTATCCAAAGATCTATTTGGCAAAGAAGAAGAATATCCTAAGTTCTGGGGAGGTTTTTTTTTTTTTTTTTGTGGGCTTTTTCTTTTTTCCTTTTTTTTTTTTTTTTTTTGGATCTTTTTAATTCATAAAAGAGCAAAATGCAAACACTGTGCTGCAGCTCAAAGCTTTGCTATAAACACTTTATGACAGTGCACGTCTTGGGGCTGAATTTGAAAATGGGCACTTCACTGGGGAAGAGAACAAAGTCAGCTGTACTTCAAAATAAACTAAGGTACAGCCTGTACAGCTTACATCTGATTAACAGCCCCACTGCTCCCATCCAGGAGGGAGTCTGTTTTGGTCCTGACGTTAATCTCATTTCTAACATTCTCCTCTAAAAGTCTGAAAGTCAGAAATGGTATGGAAACGTTAATGAGTAGCATCACTTTCTTCTTTCATACATCTCAGGACAACCTTGCTTTTGTACACTGAGGGACAGGAGGTGAACTGAGTTTGCTGCTACTGCTAAAGAACACGTGAAGGAAGACTGAGCTTATCAAGTATGCTCATGAGCTAGGAATGAGACAGAAAGGAGCACAGGGACAGATCACTTCTAGCTTCCACACTAATATTCAAACACCTAATTTTCATTAGAAGTGAACCACCCAGGAGCGACATGGTGCAAGGGCCACTTGAATTACCTGCCTGGTGCCTGACAGGTATACGACAGATGGTTATTAGAGTACATCATTTCTTAGTAAAACTAAGCCTGTCCAAAGGCAGAAAACTAACACAGCTGTGTACAGCCTCTTGATTCTCACCTCACTCTACAACTGTGCAGCAACACAGCAGAGGCATGAACGGATAGAGGTTTTATGAATAAAAAGACAACACTGGATCAGGCTGCTTAGAGAGGCTGTGAAGTCTCCTTCTCTGGAGATATTCAAAACCTGCATGTACACTTTCCTGTGTAACCAATTGTAGGGAACCTGATTTAGTAGGGCTTGGGCTTAATGATCTCTGGAGGCCCCTTCCAATCCCTACGGTTCTGTGATTTGATGCTGGGTCTTCTTAAGAAATGCTGCACAAGTGTCTTCTTTGGACATGGCTCTGTTCTTGGGCTGCCTCCTTGAGCTCACCAGCTCCCACTGATTGTCAGTAATCAGACCTTCAGGAGACTTCAACCATCAGACCAGCCCTCAGCTGGGTTAAGGACAATTACTGCTTCCTCTGCATTGAAATTACTTTTTTAAAGCACTTTTTTTTTTTTTTTTTTTAAGCAGTGCATCATTATTAAAAAACACGTACAGATATCTTCATATATGAGAGTTTGCCAACAAAAATGACAGGTAGAATAATTTATGTGGAGCATAATGTTTCAGTCTTCTGTTCTACCTGAGAGTTTATTTTTATGCTGGAATGAAACAAGACCTGACGAGCTTTATTACTTTGTGGTCTAACCAACCAGCTGATTAGTCTGATTAATTAGACAATTACTCTTTCAACATGACTAATAGTTTTATCATCATGGTACAATTTGCAGTAATGTTTAATTTATTCTTAAAAATCAGCTGTAAAATGATTGTTCTTTAGGGAATTAGTATTTAGCTACCCTTGAAAAAGTAATAAAATGAAGCCTGGAGATGGAAAATTAATAAAAAGAGTTTACAGGTTCTATCTCAACTGGTCAAAGACATATTGCCCCATATAGTAACTAGCAACAAAACAATATACTATCCTTCAAGTCTGAAATCAGATTTAGCACATCTGGGTTCAATCCAGATAAAATAGAATCAAAGAGAAAAGCATTGGGAGGCAGGTGGTTACAAACATAAATGGTTTTGAAACTGGCCAAATACCAACTTGAGAAATGGACATTTCTTGGAAATGTGCATACATAATAATGGATAATGTCATTAGCATTTTTTGGTGACAGGTTGACACTGAATTATTTTAATTCGTTTTACTGAAGTAGTTAGTAAGTCTTCTGGTTATTTTTACCTTGAAAACCTCAAATCTTAAGGGCATAACAGTACTGAACTACCCCTTAGAGAAAAAGTGCCAGGACATTGGCCTCAAATGGCACAACACTATTAAAGATCTGCATTTTCAGGCATTCAATAAAAGCAACCATCACCTCTGCTGATGTGCACAGATACTATCTGCATGAAGCCATTCCACTGGATAGAGTCTTACAGCACTACTGAAGGAAAATTTCCAATTTCTTCCACTGAAAAAACTTTTTCATTATACATTTTTCTTTAAGTTCCTCACCCTGTTCCAGGATGATTTTCTCATTCATGTTTCCCATGATCATCTTATAACCATTATAACCATTTCCCCGTGGAAGACGTAAAGAAGTACAGCAAATTAGCTCTTATTACTGCTCCAAATCTCCCCAAAGTATCTAAAATTACTGAGACCTCTTTACCAAAACGTACAGGATCTGCCCTTTAAAGGAGCAGTCAAGTGACTGCAGTCAGCATCACCCTTCCATGAAAAACCCTCTTGTTGTTGAGCTGAAGTGTACCAGAGAGGGGACAGACAAATTGACTGCTTGCCAGAGTAGTGATATTGGTCAATCCCAGAGCAATGGAAATTTTCCTCAAGATAAGCCAAACCTCAGCCCAAAGTTACTACAGTTCATGGACATCCTAACAAGCATGGATCTTGTTTGAAGAGAATGTAAGGAGAGGTTATGATCCCTGGGAGTGAGCCAGGTGGAATTTATCATTTCCCAAGCCAAGTGTTCAGAGCCATGATCCCTGCAGGAATCTAGAACAAGGACTGGAATTGCTCAGCATCTTATGGCTCCTGCCAAGACACAAATACAGAGCCTCATTCTGCTCTCACTGCTCAAGGAAAGTCCCTGTTGTTCTCAACAGGAATTTCACTGCTAACCCCAGGAAACAGACCATGGTTTTGCTTCTAATTGCATTTGCTTCTTTCATTGTAAGAACTGTACTGCAGCTTGCTGCCTCCTGATCCCTCACTGTGTCCCTCTCAGACTCTGAGGCCAGGTTCTAACCAGGTTCTCACCAGGTTTGTACAATATATTATCTGGCAATGCTGCACAGAATGGTGTTCTGGCTCTTCTGCTTGCAAGATGAAAACTTACTCTGCTGAAGATTTTGCTGTGTACACATGCCCAGGTATAAGGTACCTTAATATTGTTATTTTTCAAATGTTAATGGACTGTAAATAACCATCATCAAAAGAAATTTCATGCAAAATGAAGTGGTGGTATGCTCTAATGTAACACGCACCACAGCCTGGAAATTCCTGCTCTTGGATAAATTTCTCACCACTTCTAAATACTTGGAAAAACTCCACACCTAGCAGCATGCATTCCTGTTTTACTTACGCTCTTCTCCATCAGGATTTGTGACACATTATTCTGGGGGCTTATCTGCCAGGAGTTTTTCATGAAGAAGCCGATGGCACTCGAGTATCGGTCAGCAGTTGGGGTAAACTTCTTGAAAGTGCATTTTGCCATCCTGACAGGCCCGTCATAAATCTGGAATCCACGAATAGGGAATGTCCTGTGAGATTTAAAAACAAACACAATCCTGTGCTAAAAGCTTGGACAAAGCGCCTGTTCTCTCCTGAAAGCACAGAAAGCTGTCAACAAGCAGCAAGTAGACCTTTCTTTTCCCAAAAGAGGGATCTGGACACTAAGCACACAGCTGATAGAACTTGAATTTCTGCTTATCTCTAGAGGATAAGGCTCAAGGAACAATGACCCACACAGGTTGCATAAGATAAGGATAATGCAGTTCAGAGCTCTTGTCCCTTGCCACCCAGGGATGAATTGGCATGAGGAAGCCCCAAAGGGCTGTGTGGCAGCTTTGCTATGCAGTTTCCTATTCCAGGACAGAGATTTCTTTGGAAAACCTTAGTGTGATTGAAAAAAATGGTATCAGTCACACCCCCTGGAGGCAATAGTGTCTTCATAGAAGAAATTACAGAGTGGTGCAGCACAGTTTCTGCTTTCCCCCCAGGTCACTTCAAACATGATCCCCAGAACTTAGCCCACAGCACTTCATAGAGAAAGCTGATTCCTGCAGTACCAGCCCATGGACATGTTGTCAAGTTGTCGGTGTTGAAGGAAACACCACTGGAGAGGACCTGCCCTTTCCATGGCTTGTCTTGAGAAGGCTCCAAGTTTTGCTTGGCTCTGGCAATGTTTGGTTAAAGGGTGGCCTGCTTCAGCTACATAGACGGAAATGAGAGCTGGCCAGTAGCAGCATGGCAGAGTAGGTCACTGCCTACCACATCCAGAAATACTGCCGATTTGTTCAGACATACAAGCCACACAGCAGACAGCAAATGGGCACACAGCCTGAAGGTCACTGGGAACCAGGTGATATTATTATTCCCTACAGAGGGCTTAAGGATGGATGAGCATCGGCTAACACATACATTAGGGAAGCATTTAGACTTGGGGAAACATAGCTTGCTCTGGTGATGCTTTTGCTGGAGAGAGGTTGTGCTGCCATCAAAATAGCAAATAACATACAGCTGTTGAAAGAGAAACAAGATGCAGTAATGAAGACATCTTTCCCCTTTGACACATTGCTCTTGCCCACCCAGATACGCCAGCAGTAGGGTACGAGGGAGGCACGGTCTAAGGGAGCTGTACTGTCAGGTCAATGCTGTATTAATGAAGCACTGCACAAAAGCAATTTGGCATTTTTCAGATTCTCTAATCCACTCACCAGTGACTAATAAATCAAACAGAAAATTAAAATCAAACATTTGGTTGAGAGTGCTCTCAAATTGTTGTCCTGAAGAGGAGGTTTATTTGGATGCTTATTATTTCTGGCCTCTACAATAATTTAAACACCCAATACAAATTACTCGTTGGTAGCCACGTTCATTCCTGAGGCTTTTCTTCACGCTGCTCTAACAGGAAGAAATGGCAGAGGAACAACTCACTTGTTTCTGGGCAGTGTCCTGTATTCTCCGTTTGCCCCTTTTCCCCAGTAGCTGTTCTGGCCTCCTTGGGAGCCCAGATTGCTGCTTTCTCCAACAAAAATGGAGCGTGACACCTCCAGGCTAGAGCCATCATCAGTTGGGAATGTCCCATCACTACAAGCAGACAAAGAAACACAGGTAACTATGCGACCAATCAACTCACACTGTTAATTACACAGAAGATACAGTATTTCTACCCAACTGATTAAGCCAATGGCTATATGCAGTCTTGGAGGGAAATGTTTCTTACAGTAAATAGTAGATTTGGGGTGGGGAATAGTAGACCCAGGGAAGGGTCTCAGCTTCTATTCTTTGGCCTGATAACTTGTGAGGAAAAACAAGAAGGTACATTTTAAGAAATTACCTTGCCAGTGTGAGCCCAATTCCATTGTCTGAAAACCTGGGATGGGGGAAGCACAGAGGTGCAAATTACAACGAATGTCAAAAGGGAATTTGGCCTACAGGCCCACTCATGTCTGCTGTGGGGGGAACGGTGCAGCATGAATTTATAGGAACCTACCCAGAGTTGTGGAAAATAATGTCACCGCCCCTGGCCCAGGCCCCATGGTCATTATTTTTAAAAGCAATGAGACCATCAATTACGGCAGGAACTCGCGGCTTTTCAGGATCAGCATCTTGATGTGGGCGAAACCTGAAGCAAGAAGCTCGATTAATGCAGTTCTCTTAGGATCTCTTATGTCATCTTTCAGATGTAAGTTTTTCTAAGTAATTAATAAGTAATGTTGGAGTTTACAAACTGACTAATGAATAATGAAATCTAGACTTTTCAAGCCTTTCATGGCTTAGTCCTTACAATCCCAAATGCACGCGTATCATTTCTGATCAGCAAAAATACAAACAATTCAGTGCATAGCTAAGAAATACTTGCCTCTGCACATCAGAGAGAACTTGTGTGTATTTTCAGATTCTCCAACCATGATGAGGCACTAATGACCTGCTAAATGTGATGCAGAAGCCAAGAAGCAATAGAAGTATCCAAAGTACTTTGCCATACAGCATGTGCTTACCTGGCATTATCGACAGTGAGATACTCTCTGGGATCTTCAGCGCTGGCTCTTGTTGTCTTTACTCCTTTTCCAATAAACAAACCAGCCTGAAAAAGCAGACAACTCCAATTACTTTACCAGACTGTACACAAGAGGCCAGAGATCACAGATTTTATCAATGAACGCGTGCAGGCAGAGCAACAGCCTGCAGCCTGGGCTCTCTCTCCCCTCTCAGTGTCACTTGGCACTGCTCAGGGTGACATTAGCACAGGATGTAGTACGCTGAAGTCAGGACAGAGCCTGCTCTGCCATATGTCATGCATCAACATCTTGAGCTGTCTTCTGACCCAGTGCAAGGCACTGAACTCCCACTCTCTCTCTCTCTTGCTGAAAGCAATAAAGGACTCTGCCAAACTCTGATAACTTTTTGGAAAAAGGCCGTTGTTAAGAAGTGCAGCTTTAAATAAAAAGAGTCGAGCCACCCAACAGTCAAAAGAGAAAATGAGCTGCTTCAACCAAGCTAAAGATTGAGATAGAGCAACAGCTGTCATGGACCAAGATGTAATGTTTACAAGACCCAGAAAATAGTACTGATTTCAATCTACAATCCTTAGAAATAAGTTGAAAACACTTTTTATAGCTCACAGGTTATGTTTTCATGTCAACAGAATATTAGAGGAAATGTGTTTGTCTTGGAATTACCCTTAAATATTTGGTCTCGTTTTTCAAAGGTGATGAGCAAACCTTGGCACAAGGTACTTTTCCTCACCCCTCTACGTCCTTGTATCACTGTGGCCAACAGCAGCATTCAGTGTCATCCTGCTCATCGTTCCTTGAACCTCAGCAGTAGGTACATGTTCAGTCTGGGCACAACCCCTCTAACAAAGAACCCTGAACTGGGACTCACATCCTGCTCAGTTCTCTCTTATTGTAGAAAGAGTGCTACAACTGAACGTGGAGTGTCTCTTGATATAGTGCTAGAAGACCATTATCAAAATGTAAGACAGCCATACGTCATCAACACTGCACGTGGTCAGCCCTACACCACAGCACTATGTTGGTGGTAACACACAAAACTCATCCACGTGCCTTGAAATTGGAGTGGACTCTGTTGTTGTAAAAGACTCCCAAGGGGGTATGTTCAGCTTGTCCTTCTGGATATTGCCCTTCAGACTGTCCAGTTGGAACCCGATGGAAGATGTACCAGATCCCGACATCCTAAAAAACAAAGGGAGGCCCAAAGAATGAAACTCGGCAATTAGTGATAGAGATTATCCTGGTGACTTGGTGCTTCCCTGTATGCTGGCCAGATTTTTCAGCTGAGCCTGCAAAACTCATGCAACTCCCAAGGGACACACACCGGCCCGTACTCATACACATCTCGACTTTCCCTTTGGCACTTTAGGCCCCTTGAGCACACATGGAGGTTTTAAAAATCCATGTGTTGTAGATGAAGTTCAGGTGGCTTATTAGAAAACATAGCCTCGTCTGCATAGCCACGTTAAACACAAACAGGATTTGGTTAAACACTGGAGATAATAACACAGAAAGAGTATGTATTTATATAAATAAATGTAAAACTTTATTGGGCACTAAACTACAAATAAGAATCAACATTTTCTCAGAGACACCACACATCATTTCCAGCCACAGCTGTGACAGAAATTGGTCTCAGAAACAACTCTGAGACAAACGTGGGCAAATCCTTAACAGAGAGAAAGGCTGTAGAAATATATATCTGGATTTTGTGATGACTTACTAAAAATTCATTGCCCTCACACTAATAACATCAAAAAGAGTAGAATACATGGGACCTAGAGGCAAAGTACAACTCGCTGTTAAATGGTTTTACCTGAGCACCGGCAGCTGCATTCTCTATTAAGTTGTTGTTTGGATTTGCAATCCAGAAAGTGCTGACAGCCCTGAAAAATCAAAATCAAAATGATCCTGAACAGTTACCAAACAGGAAGGGATACGTTTTCATAGCACTGTGCTGGACTTCAGCCACAACCCTCCCATTGACTTTAAAACGCCACACAACCTTTTAATGACACTCTTGAAGGGAAAGAAAGCATCTAGTGATGTCAGACATTCATTTATAAAGCCACATGCTGTACAAATAAATTATATGAGGCCATTAACACAAAATTCCAGTTCTGTTAAATGCACCTTGAGGAAACCTGATGTCTTGATTTCTTTTCTTTTTTTCCCAAAATTGAAGTAGCTTTGGAAAATGCCTGAAAAAAATGAACTTCTGGGTTGGTTTTTTTTGGATCTCTGGGGGCAATGGCAAGAGGTAGGGGATTCGATATGGATTTATGATGCTTCTACTTGGAAAACAAAACAACTGTCCTTGCAAGCCACAAATAGCTCGTTAAACAGGAGATTAAGGAGATATTATTTTGACATTTGTTCAAATAAAGAGTTTTTGCCTCAGAGGGAGGATCACGTAGTGACACAAACAGAAGCCAGATATAGCTATGAAAACATTATCATCTGTTGTCTTGCTTCATTTGATAACTTCTTTTGCTATAATGAAAAACACATGTAAAAACACTGCAAACCTTTTCTCATGGCTATACCAACTAATTGGATCATTCTAGGCAGGAAATCTCAATATTTTTTTGTCTACTTTAACCACTATGTAATCAAGAATCCCCACTCATTTGCATGAGTAGAATGACTAAGTAGGTGTGCAATAAACCTGTGTTATCTGTACAATCAAACTTAGCATTTCTACAACCATAATTGTTGTTAATTCAATTGGATCACTTTCATAAATAAAATAAGTAGAGTTTAGCCACTTGATTCATTTCCAGAGAACATGAAAATACAAATTTCCTTGGCTAAATTATATTCTTACTTGCAAATACTAGGCAGGTCAGTATTTGGATCCCTTGAGTGCCCATGTTACAGCCCTTCAGTCTCCAAAATGGAAGATAACTTTGGTAAGCTACAGTAGTGTATCATTTATTGTATTATAAATGAGGCTCATGGCACTTCATGCTAATCTCTACACTCTCACTAAATCTGCTTGTGTACTGTAGGTGTTTGTGTATCTGTGTCTTGCAGACTAACTAACAAGGCCAGGTTGGATGGAGCCCTGGGAGCCTGAGCTGATGGGGGACAACCAGCCCATGGCAGGGAGTTGGGACTGGGTGACCTTTAAGGTCCCTTCCAACTCAAGCCATTCTATGATTGTATGACTATGATTCTTGTTCAAAATAACTGGAAGATGTTCAGAAACAAGCCAAGTACTCTACATATTGATGATTATATTTGTTTCAACATAACATTCTTTAAGATGCAGCTATAAAGCTCAGCACCAGTGCTAAAAGCAACTCCATTTCATGGAGCACTTACATGCAGTCAGTGCTTGGCACCGGAATGTAATTCCCATAGACGTGGCTCCTGATGGCAAGGCACATTTCTTCATTGCGATCTGAGGGCAAGATGGTTCCCGACCTGGTGAGCAGGCCCAAGTTGTGCTGGAACGTATTGCGCTGCTCCGTCCCATCCTCAAGGAAGAAACAGTGCCCCAGAGTGTCGTAGCCAATGGTGTCTTTTACCTGGAAAAAAGCATGCAGGTGATTGATCGCGATGGCAGCAATGACATGCTTTGCTTAGCAGTAAATTCTGAAACACTGGCTGAAAGGTTTCGCCATTGTTCTGCACAGTGCCTTCGTGTGCACTGGTCCAAGAGGCAACACTCATGCAGTTTGCATAAGAGTGGACTGATCCTATGCAGTAGAGCAGCTAGTAAAATTACTCTGAGGAAGATCATAAGCATAATTAAAGGAAAGTTGTAAAATACTGGATTTTAATCTGCCCTCAGCTCTAGGAGAGTATGTTTGATTCAGAATCACAGCGTGAATATCTGTGTAAATATCAGCGTGTCTCATGCAGTACACCAAAAAGCTGGCCTAGCTAATTCAGACATTTTCACGACTAGGTTTCCCAAATAAAATTTTAAAAATCTTTAAAATGCAGTATATGAGGTAATTTTTCTTATCAAGGCTTCCCTTCTTCTCCTCCACTCTCAGAAGGGGGAGGTCCCTTAATGCAACGATCAGCTTGGGCAGAGCTGGTATTTCACTATTCAGCCTATTTAAGATTAACTGACATGCATTAAATCCTAATTTGACCAAGAGGACTTAGCACAAAGCTCCTTTGATGTACTGCCTCATGAAGGCAAATTTAGAAATCCTTCCTTTAAATGTGAATACTAAATCAGGTTAGTTAAAGTACCAGCTATTCGTTACTAAATCTCTCTGAAACCGAACTTTGTACTTCACATGATCCCTGCCAGCGTATGTATTCATTCTTCAGGCATGCAAAATGGCTGTTGACGTCAATTAGAGTTATGTCCATGTAAAACTGCAAGATTGATTAATATTAACCTGCTCGGTCATTCCTGTACACAGAGGGAAACTTGAACTAAATCCATTTCAGATCATATCCTGTGATCACACCTTAATGGGCTACAAGCATACATAACATCTGGAGTCACAAACACTATAGTTCCCATAAGTATATTTCTACTGGATTTCATTCCTTTCCTGGCAGTCCCTCCTTTGTCATCTGCTGCTCAGTGAAGTGTTCTGGTTAAAAATAAGGCATCACACAGCCACGTACCCAACTCCCAACCAATACATTTTTGGAACTTCACTGAGAGTCTGCATGTAAGTGAGATAACACAGAGTGAGCTACAAGGGAGATAACCAAGAACTCAGACACAGCGACACGGAGAGAAAGTGTACTCCATCAGTCCATCAGCTGAGTCTTGGAAATGTGGATATGAAATGGATTTAGATAAAAATGCAAGTGCCCCTGCCAACCTGCTACAAACAGTAAGTCTAACTGCTTATGTCCCAAATGATGGCTGGGAGTTGCACTGAAGACTATTTTTGGAGAAAATATATAAAGCAAGTTGCCTGCAGCCGTAAAGCAAAGAGCATTTCAATTAGGGAGTTTCATTCTTGGGAATTTAGCTAACTTCAGATAATCTGTGCTTCAGAGAAGTGCATTAAAAACCAGTCTTGTCACCAAAAATAGATTTTAGCTTTAATGAATATGATCTGTGGTAGCTTCAGAAACACATGGAAGCCCTGAAAGCTTACACACATGGAACTGTATTATTCACTCTCCCGTCCATAAAAAAAAAAAAAAAAAAAAAAGAGATTTAAAGATTGCTTACATTTGCACTGAACGAGAAGGGTCACAGAATCTATAGAATGGCTTGTGTTGGAAGAGACTTTAAAAACCATCGAGCTCCAACCCAACTCTATGGGCTGGGTGCCCCCCCAGCTCAGCCTGCCCAGAGCCCCGTCCAACCTGGCTTTGAGCACCTCCAGGGATGGAGCACCTGCAGCTCTCTGGGCAGCTGTGCCTATCCGTGCTGTTAGATCAAAACAGCAATAACCAGTTGATCCCAGCATATCGCAGACAGAACTAAAGGCTTGAAAAGAAGAGCCACCCTGCAGCGCTGTGACATCAGTACATTACAGTAAGGCAGCGCAGCGCCGTCCCCGCTCAGCCCACAGCCCAACGCCAGATGATTAACATGCCTCTAAACACTGAATTATATATAGTTCAGCAACACAATATAAGTGACCTTGAGGCGCTGCAACTTTATACATGAAAGACTGCAATATTCTGCGGTATGCTTGACGTGTGTCAGGGCAGTGAGCAGCGTGTCACAGCCTGCTGCCCAGCCACGCTGAGTAACCCAAGCTGAAAAGTGGCTGCAAAGGGGCACGAGGTTGGCAGGCAGGAGGAGCAGGTGGGGAGAAGGGCACACAGCTCCCACCTATGTTATCTAACTGCCTTGCACTGATACACATACAATTCTCTGGAACTATGGATTGTTTTATCTTAAAGCAAGGATTTAAAATACATTTTATTTACTCTTAATGGCAGCACTGAAACCACGTGATTCTTCCACAGAAGAATCTATATGCTATAAAATCTATTGACCAATTAATGGATTCAAAGCCCCCAGATGTCACCTGCTGGTGGCCTGGATCTCATTCTTTGATTCCTAATTTTGTGCCCACTTAATCTCACACACCTGGATAACCCATTGACAACCTCCCTTCTGATAAAGGCCCAGAGTATGCACCATTATTCTTGGAAATAACATTAATGTAAGGCTTAATTTTTCATGCTGCCAGGTTCCTGCTATTCGCAGGGTGTGACACAATGGGAACAGAAAGGGAGTTGAGCTGTATCCACACACTGTACAAGTCTCCTGCCACGTAAGGGCTTCATCTACAAAAGCAGAAACTATAGCCAGAGTGAATCACATATAAGACAAAGTAATCCATAATTTTGAGTGATCTGGACATTATAAATACTGTTTAGAATCATAGAATGGCCTTCAAGGCCATCTGGTCCAACTGCCCTGCACTGAACAGGGACACCTACAGCTGCTCTGGTACTCAGAGCCTCATCCAGCCTGACCTGGAGTGTCTGCAGGGATGGGGCACCCACTTAGGATACATGAAAAGTGCACTGTCATATAAGTCCAGTGATGCATCTTAAGGAACCCCTTGCACTAAGGTCCCACCAGCTTGTATCTATGTCACATCTTACAAAGCTTTATGTCCAGAGCTGAGAAAAACTTTCCAGGAAAACTTCAGAGGTCACAGATAGTTCTAGGAGTGTCTCTGCCTACACATACATCAAGTGAATGAGGAAATGCCCATGAACACCAAAATGCCATTCAGGGTCTGACAGAGCAATTGGACATGTTGGGACTGGAGTGGGAATCTGCATTTCCAGCTGGGGCATGTGTGGTTTTTTTTCTTTTTGTTAAGTTCCTCTCCCCAGTACCCTTGTGAATATCTGGGTCAAAACCAAGTTCCCGAAGGCGTTTCTGGGTCCTGTTGCATTCCTATTGTATTGTGAAAACTTTTGGATTTGTTCCACATTACCCTGACTTGAACAAATTTCTGTTGCAAACTAAAGGTCTGTTGCTTCGGTCAGGTGCATTAAAAGAGCATTGCTTTTGTTTTAAATGAAAGTTTATAGGAACACAAACTGCCCCAAGTAACCATGGCAAAGAATTCACTATCTAACCACATCATTAGTAATTCTAATTATCAAGACAATACAAAAAAACCTGAAATTCAACTGTAAGAGCTGAACTGCCAGAGCAGAAGTCCTCATCTGTCAAATGAAGTCAAGACATCCCCTGGGGAGACTTTTTTCAGCATTCTGATTTCTCCTTGCACCTCAAAAGGCTCTTAAGCAAAGAAATTAACTTGGTACTAATAAAATAGGTTTCCTACCAGCAGGCCATGAGTCCCATGTATGGCAACACACCTAGAGAAGCAGTGGTGAATAGCCAGGTTATCAAGGTACGTCGGGCGTTGATACCCTCCTCTCTCATCGACATCTGCAGCCATGTGAAAGTGCACAGGGTAACTGCCCAGGATTTGCTGCCCCATGTTTTTTAACTCCACACCTGACATGTGCACAGAGCTAAAATTTGCTAGAATCTGTTGAGAGAAATGCAAATCCAAGTAAGGTGTTGCAACAGAAGCACACAGAAAAAGAAAAGCTTTTTTTGTTGTTGTTGTTGTTGTTTTTTTCCTATTAAGCAATATGTTTGCAACACAAGGCAGGGCCTGATCCCACGGGGTGCCAGCTCCCCACGGTGACTCACAGCAGCACCTGCAGAGGAGCTCCAAAGAGAAGCTGCCAACCAGCATGCAGGGCGTTCAGCAACAGCTGTGCGTCAATGCATTAACATCTTCACAGACAAAACACCCCTACCAGCTACAGAAAGAGATAATGTTTACCAACAGGCTCTATTTCATGACAACTTAATCTCTGTCAGGTGATCTTAGGCCAGACTTGCACAGATTTCTACCAACTGGTAATGGATTTATTTTACACAAAGCCTCTGGAACAGCAAAACTTTGAACGTTGACCGAGAACCCTTGGGACAACCCAGAGACAGCAAAGCACAACAGGAGGACTCAGCATTCAGCTGAGCCCTGAATGGAGCAGGTTGCTCAGTAGGTAGTACAATTCCTTTGGCAATATCTTGCAACATATGCAACTTCACATTGACCCTACTGCAATGGAGCTGATGAATCTCCTCCAGCCTGGAGAAGGGCACATTTTTGTGAACGTGGTGAACAAATGGCAGAGCCCCATTGCAAGTCTCATTTTGCAAAGCAGGCCAGCAAACCTTCCCCACAAGTATCCTTTTTCCCCAGACACAAATGGCAGTTTCATGCATTATACTGCTCATCTACAAGCCAAGAAGGGAACTAACTGATCCCATCTATAAGAATATGCTTTAAAAATCACTCACTTTAATGTGTCCTCCAAACGTGTCAAAGGAGAAAAACTGACATTGATTTTCTCCATAACAGGAGTCTTCCATTTCTCCTTGGATAAGTATATTTCTAGTCAGAAGACCGACCTCTGCCCTCATATCGATGCCGTCTATGACTTCACCAATATGAAGATAAAGTGGGCTGCCTGTGGAAATTGGAAACTTTTTTGTTCAACATGAGCACATGTTAATTTTTGCATTGCTCTAAGCAAGTGCACACCTTTCCTTCAAGCAATCACTGAGTCTGGGACATGCCCAGCAATTAATAACTGATCCACAGGAGATCAGCACTTCCCTTAGTTCTACAAGGGGCAGCTGCCTCAGGCCAGATTTTAAGTCCCAGTACAACACTGAGGCCTTTCAGGTCTCCTGTGACAGGGGCACAGGCTTATGGGACAATATGGCTTAAGTGGCCATGTTGGTGATGAGCTGACAGTCAGACTAGATGACCCAACCTTACTGATTCTATGATTTAGCTAAGAAGACTAATTAATGTAAATGTAGAACGTAAAAGACTTGACAATGTAAAGATTCACATCAAATGAGAAGCTCAATAAAAAAATCTCATACCATCAATTTTCACTTGATTGCTTTTACATTCAGGGCAAGGAAGGAGATTGAACTCCTCAGCCTGATGCATGGAATAATCCGTACTAGCAATGACGATCCTGTCACCAGGTAACCAACTTCTAACATCATCCACTAAATGGAGAATTATTCCTTTGGACACCTCCACTTTAAACCCATTATGAGGCACTCCTGAAAAATGAAAAAATCCATTATTTTTTTTTTTACTGTTACACATGCCAGAATAATACAATTAACCAAAGAGCCACCAGTGTCGTTTCTATCTAGATAACATCATGCACAGTAGAAGTGCTTTTGCCATCAGTGTGTCAGAGTCATTTCATTGCAGGTGGCAAAAGGGGTACTTCATAAGAGTGCTTCTGTTAGTGTGGTCACCGTGCATATGAGCAAAATCCAATGGTACGAATATCATTGCGCAGTTCAGATTCATAGCATAGAGAAAAGACTGAGCAAAGCAACAGAAGACAAACTGTTATCAGCAAACACAAAACCTTTTATCCATCCACTGAAAGCAGTAACAGTGAAACGGGTGCCATCATAGGTGAGGAATTCTCTCTGGGCTACGGCTAACCCTGTTGTCCCATTCCCGTGATACTCTCTCTTATCCTCCACCGTCGAAAGCGGATCCCCTCCGAGGATCCCCACCAGCGCCCAGGGCTGCCTGGAGGAGACGAGGAAGGATTGTTCCGAGCTGCACCCCGCGACCCCAGGGAGCGACTCAGGAGAAGGCAGCGCGGCGCGGCCTCCACCCCTCCTTCCCTCCCTCCGGGCCCCTCCGCCGGGCAGCGCGGCGGCCGCGGAGCTGTCCATGGTTCCCAGACCCTCAGGACCGCAAGTTCGAATCCCGCTCCCGCCGCCCGCCCTCGCGCTCACCTGTAGCCCAGCCGGGAGATGTGTTGGCTGCGCAATCGATCCCGCAGCAGCAGCCGCGTCTCCAGCGTGAGGCTGCGGGCGGCCGAGTCCCCCACGGCGGCCGCCACCACGCTGCCTTCGGGCTGCAGTGCCAGGAAGTCGCGCAGCCGATGACACTCCGCGGCCCGTAGGTGGGTATCGAAGCGCCCGGCCGCTGCTACCCGCCCCGTGCCGGCGTCCAGAACGCGCAGGTTGAGCCCGCGGCTGCCCCACCGCCGCTCCGAGGAGTAGGGACCGTGGCGGAGCCCTCCGGGGTGCAGGGTTTTATCCAGGAGGCTCCAGGAGCGGGGCCGCCGCCCGTGAAGCTCCAGCACCCCGCCGCGCCCCACGCCCAGGAACTTCTGCCCGAAGCCGTCCACGGCCACCCCGTCGGCGGCTCTCCCGTACAGCGAGATGGTGGCCCGCGAGGCGTAGGGGCAGCGCTCCGAGCCGACGTGCAGCTCCCCGCCGTCCCGGATGAGGATGTAGCGGGCCCGCAGGGTGATGGGCGGCCCGTGGGGGCGGTCGGCGAACACCACCTTCCCTGAGGGACGCGGGGAAAGGAGCGGGGTCGGGAGCTGGAAACGCGGGGTGCCACCCGCATCCATCCCCCTCTCCGTCCCCCGGGCCGCTTACCTCCGTCGCGGATGACGAGGGAGTGGAAAGCAGCGGAGCTCTCAAGCCGCAGGGCTGCTCCCCGGCCCACCACAGCGTGGCGGCGGGTGTCGGAGCCGGGGTGCCACGGGACGAGGTGCGGGACGGGCTGCGGGCACGGCCCTGCAAGAGAGTGGGGCAGCGGCAGCGCGGCGATGCGCGGAGGTGTGGGGGGAGCGGGGGTCGCGGTACCGACCTGCGCACTGCTGCCGTTCGCTGCTCCCGGCGCGTCCCGCGGCGGCACCGGCATCGGTGCGAGGGGCAGAAGGAGCGCAGCCCCGCTACCTGCTGCCCCAACACGTGCGGAGCCGCGCCCGCCGCTTCTCCGCGGCTTTGCACGGAGCCGGCGCAAAGACGCATTTGGCTTTGGATTGTTTCTCTTTTCTTCTTCTTCTTTTTTTTTTTTTTTCCTTTCTTTTTTTTTTCTCCACCTAACCGCATACACAGAAACCCCTCCCGCTTCCCGCTCCGTACAACCCCGAGCGCAGAGCGGCGACCACAACAACGGGACGAACAGAGAGAGCCGACGACGAGAAGGAAGAAAAAAAAAAAAAAATACCGCACCACCACCCCAGAGGCAGAACGACTGGAAACACCGGCGGGTCCCAAACTCCGGCTGCACAGAGCGCTTACCCAACGCCGGCAGCGCGGTGCCGCAAACTTTGGCGGCCGCCTCCCGGGAGCTCCCGACACGGCTGCAGGGCAAGGACACAGGCAGAAGTAGGGGCAGGCAGGCGCAGGCAGCTCTCGCTCCTCCACTCCGGCTGCCTCCCCTCTGCCTCCCTATTTATATCCATCTTCCAGCCGCCGGCGGTGCCCGCACTGTTTACAGCAGCTCCGGCTGCTGCTGGCTCCTCCCAGCCGGGAACGATTCCTCCAGCCCGGACTGACATCCGCGGCCGGCGTCCAGATGCTGGGGCTGGGAAGAGCCCCCCTGCCAGGTTCCGAGCCGCTGGGGCTGTCCCGGCATCCCGGGGGGGGGACCTTGGGGACTCAGAAGACCCTGGTACACTGTGGGCTTCGGGGCCCATTCTGGGTCCCCAGGCACAGTGCGTGCTCCCATGGGGAGCCCTGTCCTACAGATTTCTATGGGGAACATCAGAACCCAAACATCCCCTGTGACAGCAAGTGAACAGAGAGGTGTCTGCCGCCTCACCTCATGTCACCTGGCTAACCTGAATGCAGAGCCAAAGACTTCCCTTTAGAAAGTACCTCAAAGAAATCCACATGCATTTACCTCTCTGACATGGACCACACTCACTCTTACAGACACCTGCCCAGCCTCCAGCCTCAGTGCTGGAATGCCACCACCGCTTTTATTTTCCATGAACCAGAATATCACCTTTTCCCCGATCACCTCCTCCCTAGGCTATAAAACACAGCAGAACAGAACTTCCTGGGGACACCATTTACTTCAGTCACTTCTTCCCATCCCTCATCCCTGCTCTGCAGCCCAACACCCAGCAACAAGGCCAAGCCAGAAGGCAGCAGTGCTCCCACATATGGCCAAAGCCAAAGCGCTGCAAAGCCACAGGTGCCGCGTCTCAGCGACAGTTGTGTGCCATCATCTGGTCAAACTGCTTCAATCTGTCACCACTGAAATCTACTCCAGCTAAGGATTTCTTCTGATGGAGGGCACAAAGAGGCCATAGGTACGTTAGGAACAGTGGGTAGAATAGAAGACACAACTGCTCCCCTACACCCTGCTCTGGATGCCGGATGCTGGTGGGTGTGAACACAGTTCCCAGCCCGGAGGAACACATTGGGAGAGGCTCAAGCTGCCACCTTTGCTGCTGGCTGTTCACTGAATACTGGCATTTCTATTTCCATCTCAAACAGCTTTTGGCATTTTCCTTCCAAAAACGGAGCAGCATTAGTCAGCGTTGTGCTTCGTTCTTATCTGAACGCGACATGTATGGACGTGAGGTACAGCAGCCTGGGTTTGTGGTTTTGGCAGATAGGTGGATCTGCTTGTGGGAGCTGCAGGCAGGACGAAACAAACAGGAGCGTGTCATCTCCAATTACCCTGAACCTTATGGTTCTAGGAGTGGAGGTAGAAGGGAACCCAAACCTTCATTTTACGCTTCTCGGGTCCCTTGAAGCCTCATAGATTTGTATTTAAAATATTTACTCTAAGATTCCATGGACTTAATTGCAACCTAAATAAAAGATGGCAATGATTAACCCAACCAACCCAGTGACAGCAGAAATAAATGTCATTCAGACTTCGGTCAGCACTCAGCTCCATGCGGGTCCTACAAAGCTGTTAGCAAAGCCAAAGGTGACTCTGGTTCCTATGGGTCTTTTTTGGAAAAAGAACCCCAGATTTGGACAGGGTTCAAATCCTTCACAACCATTTCCCCTGCAGCCTCAAAACCCACTGAAATGCACTGCTGAGGGCCCTTTCCAAGAGAAAGAATCCTCCTTGGAGGTGAACTATCTATTTTCTTCTGCATTAAGCTTTCACCGGCTGAGGAGGGAGATTGCAGAGCAGATCACGGGCAGATCATCTCATTTCTTTGAAGAGAGCCTCTTCGCTTCCAGGAAAGCACACACATTCTGCATATTGAGCAGAAGTGAGCTAAAGCCCTTTCCTTTTTCCTGCAATGGGAAACCACAACAGCCTACCGCCTACTGTACATCTTCCTTGAAAACAGACAAATCAATCCGATCTCACAGGGTGGCTCCTGAAGGCGTGTTTCCCGGGCACACTCCCTGGCTGACCGCTATCCTGTTTCCTTATTGCCACCCGGGGAAAGGAAGGAGAAGAGGAGTCAGCGTCCCCTCGGCAACGCCCGCTCCCACGTTCCCCCCTCCGCCGCCCGAGCGCTGCCGGCCCCGCGCTGCTCCACCGCCGACCGGTAGGGGGCGCCATTGCACAGCCCTCACTGCAGCGCCGTCCTCCGGCCCCGCGGCGCCGCTCAGCCCCGCAGCCCCGTGACTCAGGCACCTCCTGCCGTCCTCCTCATTACATTAGCAACGTTTCTTTAATATGTTTTTCCCTGCGCCTCTTCCTCGTTGCACATCTGCCATCCTCTGTGCCTGTTTTGGTTTTTTTTTTTTTTTTTTTTTCTGCCTTAGTTTTGTATTTTCCAAACGCATTTCCACAGACAGCCCCCAGTTCCCAGCAGGGCACTTCGTAGAATCATTAAGGCTGGAAAAGAGCTCTAAGATCCAACCCCAGCCCACCCCACCAAGCCCACTGACCACATCCTCAGTGCCACATCCCCACGGTTCTTGAGCACCTCCAGGGACGGTGAACCCACCACTCCCTGTGCATCACAGCTCTTTTGGAGACAAAATTTTTCCTAATATCCAACCTGAACCTCCCCTGGTGCAACATGAAGCCGCTCCCTCTCATCCTATTGCTGTTACTGGGAGCAGAAGCTGACCTCTGCCTCACCACAACCTCCTTCCAGGGAGTGTATGGAGCGATAAGGTCTCCTCTGCACCTCCTCTTCTCCAGACTGAACCATCCCTGTTCCCTCAACCACTGCCCACAGGACAGTTTGGACCTGGCTCCAAGCACCGCTCCCTGCTTCTGCTGGCTGCACTATTTCTGATACAAGCCATTGGCTTTCTTGGCCACCTGGGCTCACTGCTGGCTCATGTTCAGCTGGCTGTAAACCAGCACCCCCAGATCCTTTCAGTCCTTCACCTCAACAAGGAAGCAGGAAGTGCTGCCTACCTGTGCCCCAGGTGCTGGGAGCAGCACACTCCAAACATGTGCATCAGAGATGTACTCGGGCTGCTGTGAGCCTGGCAGCCACACTGGGCTGGAGATGTCACCACAGCATGGCTTTTAGCACCTGCAGACAGCACAAACACTGCTCACAACTGACCCGCGGCACATTGCCCTCCTAATACCCCACCACTGGAGCACCTTCAGCCCCAGTCAGAGAATCAGAATCATTTGAGTTGGAAGCGACCATCTGGTTCAACTGCCCTGCACTGAACAGGGACACCTACAGCTGATCAGGTGCTCAGAGCCCCGTCCAGCCTGACCTGAAGTGTCTGCAGGGATGGGGCACCCACCACCTCTGTGGGCAACCTATTAACCTGGGCCATTGCTCAGCCAAGCACTGCGGCCTGCAAACCAGAGCAGCCCCACCTCAGTCACTGGTGCAACACAGGATCAAAGCACACCTCTGTGAGTACCTACCACTGTGCTCTGCTTTGGGTTTTGGTGGTATCTTCCTTGCTTTCAGCATGTGCTCCTTGAGCAGAGTGAAGACCTTGTGCTGCTGGCCCTCAGTGAGCACGCCCATGTTCCCCAGCAGCCGCAGCATCCTGTGCAGCAAGAAAGGCCTCAGCTTGTGCCGCACCATCTTAAGGGGACTGACGTACATTTTGGGCATCTTGGCATCATGGTCACAGTTGTACAACCGAAAGAGGTTCCAGGCCAAGCCAGGTCCAAAGGTATCCACTGAAATATATCTGGAAAGTTTGAGGAGCACGTCACAGGACAACTGCTTCTCTTGTGACTTCTGGCCCACGTTCTGACTTCTGCTGGTATTGGGACGGAGGAGGGGGCTGGGTCTGTGTGGTCCCACAGTCCCAGGAAGGGTGCTTTGACTGTGCAGCAGTTCATGTTCCACATCCCACCATGAGCTGTTGGGACCCGGGCTATGCTCTGTAATAGTCATAAATACAGCAAAACTATTAAACACGAGCAAGAAGAATCCTGGTGGGTCTATATACACTTACACACACACTTCTATTAATGTTTTGCAGTATCCCTGGAGGCACTGCAAATTGTTGAATCACTTTGACAAACTCACTGTGTGCTTCTCCAGGTCAAAGCAATATATTCGCAATGGACAGATTTTGAGGTACACTAGGGGGATAACATATATATAATTAATGCTTTCTATAATGCTTTATATGCATTCTAAAATGTTTATAACATTCTCTATATGCTAAATGGCTGAACAAAGCCATTGCCCTGATGCAACAGGGTTAGGCTGTGGCTTCCTCCTATGGACAAGAAGCTGCGGGAGATCTGGGGCTCCCTGGAGCTTACATTTGCTTTGAGGCAAATATATAAACACTCCCACACAGCACTGCTCCATCCAGGCTGAGCCCAAAGGTTCAATTTACACCCTGAGAAGTGACCGATAAAACAATTAAATTCAACATCAGTGAGCTGCAACTTTGCTAGAGACCCAGGAACATTCATGAAAGCTCTACTGATGAAAAAAGATGAGGAACCCAAAGCTGAATTGCATCCTGCCCACAGTGTTTGGAACAGTTAATGCTTTAGCATAAGGACATACCACTGAATGCTGGAGGTCACGTCCCTGAGCCCTGGAATGTGCCCGCAGTGCTCGCACTCATTGCTGAGCAGCAGATGAAATGTTCCATTTCCTACAGGTCCAGCATGGCTGGGAAGCTTCAAATATTTTCTATTTGATTTCAAGATTGGATTTATCAGCCTCAAGTAGTTGCGGCTTACCGTCCAGGGGATTATTTGCATGTTTTAACCAAATTGGTTATATATCACACTGCTGTGCTGGAGGATTATGTAGCAAAGTGCACATTTATGGCCGTAATTCATCACTGAAACATAACCCTGTACTACTGGGAAACGGCAAGATGTGACCACCAAGACCAGATGGCAGCAGGTAATTCAGGAGCATCCTAACGGCTGCAGCACTTTGCATCCTTCATTCTGAGCGATCCAGACGTTGCAAGAGAACAAAGCACCGCGTAAAGCATGACTTCGATTGAACAGAACTTCGGATGCTAAAAGAAGCCCCGAGGAACTAAGGAGAAAGTGAACGAAAGGCCGATTGCACGCAGCCACCTCCAAAGCCACAAGCAAACCACGGCGCCCAGCAGAGCCCAGGCGGGCAGTCAGCCTCCAGCTCCCTCCCTTCGGGCAGCGGTCGGTGCCGGCAGCCGCACCACCTCCCAGCAGGGGCAGCCCCAGCCCAGCACGCAGCTCCCATCGCCGCCTTTAGGGCAGCCCCCAGCCCAGCTAGCTGGGCTACAGACGGCAGCACGAGGAGCCCCGGAGCGGCACCGCCTTCCTCTCCCTCTCTCCTCCTCCCCCTACCAGCACTGCCCACCCCCCCCACACTCCCCCCCGGAGGTCGTCACCGTATCGCCGCTGCCTGGGGACGCTTCTCGCCGCCTCGGGTCGGGCTCCCAGCGCCGCCACCAACACCAGCACCAGGGTGCAGCTCCTCGGGGGGCCCGCGGCCGTCCCCAGCCCGGGGGGAGCACCTGCAACACACACGCGGCGTTGGGTCGGGTCGGTCTCCCGCTGCTTCCCTCCCTGCCCCTCGCCGTTCTGCCCCGCTCACCCGGCGGCATGTAGGGCTGCCGGAGCCGCGCTGGATGGATGCTCTGTGGCTGCCGAGGCTCCTCCAGCCGCTGTCAGCGCAGCTGTGCCCGCCGCCCCCGGGGAAGCTGCAGGCACGGGCCGCGCACTGCCCACCTCGCGGCTCCTGGCAGCCCTACAGGGCGGGCAGCGTACCCACAGCGCAATGAAATCCTGAAAGCAGCACGTTTACCCTTATAGGAGAACACCCTGAGGAGGTGAGGGCTCTCTTCTCTTCTCTTCTCTTCTCTTCTCTTCTCTTCTCTTCTCTTCTCTTCTCTTCTCTTCTCTTCTCTTTTTATTTGGAGAGACAGCACACCACCACGGTATGGTTAAGTTGCACTTGATGATCTTGAAGGTCTTATCCAACCTGAGCGATTCTACGATTCCACGCATGTTGCTCCAACGTTTTCTGCAGAAATACTTTGGTTTCTGCAAACCCACACCTGGCAGAGACAAGCAGCACTGCTGCCCCAAGGAGCAGCTCATCTCTGCTGTAACAAAGTTGTGAGACCCAAATATTTCACAGCTGAAAGTAATCTCTCACTCTGAAAACCAACTCAGTTTGGAGGAAGACGTCTTGCAGGACTTGGAAAGCAATACAGATGCAGCAGGTAATTTGGGGCTTGGCCCATCCACCACCAGAGCCATCCTCTTCATCAGCACCAGGAGGACAAACCACCACGGTCACAGTGCAAGTTACAACACTGGATGGTGGGGGATTGCACCAAAAAGGGAGGGTGGGTACGGAGAAATCAGTGAAATGGACTTAAATAAGATCATTAGTTTACATTTGTGAGAGCAGAACTGGGGGAAAAGGATTTTCCAGATGAGAATAAAGGTTTAGTGCTCAAGAAATAACCCCGGGAAAAGTGGGTTGTTTCTCTACTGTGTTTAACAACATGCAGTAAAACCAAATATGATATGGGTTTATTAAAGGGATGGACAATACTACAGTGTAAATACAGGTTTGGGTGCTTCCATAGCAGATGGGTCAGTGCCTGGAGCAGAGCTGCCCCACACTGCAGTAAGGACACAGAACTGGGGTAAAAAACACAGAAGCAACAAGGGTGAGAGATCTCAGTGCAAGCACAAGTTAACAGTTACGTAAGGCTCAAAGGATACACATCCAACCCCGTGCAAAGCAGAACCTCCGAAGGTGAAACCAATATTTTGCTCTGTTTCGAAGTACAAACCTCAGGCAGCTCCTGATAGGGGAGCACAACTCACCTCCTTGGAAAAAAGGAGTCGGACTGCAGATGCGGTTGCGCCGCATAAACAAAGTTAGCAGGTCACACAGGAAGAAGGGGTGGAAAAAAATGTTACTTATTTACACTCCTGGAAGCCCCATTGCATAATTTACCCAGGCACACACAGCCATCTTCACAGTGACACCTCGGTAGCTCTAAAATATGCATAGCAAGTTCTCGTGAAGGCCCACGTTATGCATTTAAATGAGTCAATGTTAGCAGTTTGCTGCAGCAAACGACTTTTTTAGCCCGATCCAAAGTTTCTCTTTCATAACCTCACATCTTCCCCTTTTTCCTACATCTCAAATTCCTATTCCTTTAAACAAATGGGGACCTGAAATCCGCTGTCTGATAAACCATTTCATTTGTTGGCCACGGATTTTAACTAATAACTCTAATGCTGATGGGCAGCAGTGCTCTGAAATGCCCAAAACAGTGATGCCTTGGTACAGGGGAGAAGCTAAAAGTTTACACAGCATAAAGAAGGCCACTACTATTTATTTTCTTTACAGGACTTGCCAGGAAACATTAAAAACATCACAACTCACCTCAGAAGTATTCAGTGGACACAGAGCTGCAAGGAAAATGGTTTAAGGGACCCAACAGGTGAACAGATCTCTGACTTAGAGGGAAGAAGCCCAGAGCATCACTGATAGGTCACTAATAATCACTCTAATTAACAAGAATATATTTGCATTAGTTAAACATGGATAAACTTTGCAAAGCAAAGCAGACAATGCAGAAGAACAGCAAGGCACCTACAAGGGCTATCATTAGACCACAGATTTATGAAGGTTCACATTTAAAAGAATACATCTAAAAAAAAAAAAAAAAAGAGCAGATTTCCTAAAAATACAGGAAGGGAGAGACAAGTCTGAGGTGAGGATTAGCCAGTTACAGCTGAACCATCCCCAAGAGAACAGCTGAGTGTGCCAGGGCTTGGGGCATTTAATACTCAGCCTGAATCACACAGGTGCAAGCCCCACAGTGAGGGCCCAACTGACTGCACACAGGTGGGTGCCATCGTTTTCCCCCACTCCCCAAACCACTGTGAATGAAAATACCATTTTCTTTCCTTTGAAAGTAATAGCACCAAGCAACATCAACGACAAGACACACCTGCAGTGCTGACCATCCACTGCAGGTTTGTCACAAGGTCTCATGACAACAACTTCAAACTTTTCTTCTGGGCCCAGCACAGAATCATTAGAATGGCCGGGGTTGAAATGGACCACAATGCTCATCTAGTTCCAACCTCCTGCTATGTGCAGGGTTGCCAACCAGCAGACCAGGCTGCCCAGAGCCACATCCAGCCTGGCCTTGAATGCTTCCAGGGATGGGGCATCCACAACCTCCTTGGGCAACCTGTGAACAGTGCATCACCACCCTCTGGGTGAAAAACTTCTAAATGTCTAACTAAACCTCCCCTGTCTCAGTTAAAAAACCATTCCCCCTTGTCCTATCGTGTGCTAATCTATTATTTAAATAACAACCAGATGCTGTTTAAAAGTAATCTTTTCAACATTTGATTTATATACCAAGCTGCAAGGAAACAAGGCTTTCCACTTCAGGATAGTTTTCCTTGGAAGGAAGGAATTAAATAACACAATTCAAGTACTTTGCATTTTCTTGCAAACGATGCACCAAATAAGATTCAATAATGCAGCGAGATCTAATCCATGCATCCTTTATTCCATTACAATCACTGTGTTGCATTCCAGCAACAGGACACAAACTGCAATCAACCGCGATCAATTTGTACAACAATCTGAGGCTTACAGTACATTTAAGGCCTTAACATTTGGAAAAATTAGACCTATGCTAGTAGTGTAACAATTGTAAGTGTTTTGCATTTCTGATGCATAATCTGTGCGATTCCAGTGTCAGAGAATCAAATCACTCCTGAACTAAAAAGATCAGCTCAATGAAAATTTAGTTACATAAATTCTTCAAAACAGAAATGTGTAAATTTTTTTCTTTTTTTTTTTTTTTTTGTCCTGGAAACTTTATAAAACTTTAATAGCAAAATAATATAGGGATAAAAACATATTTTAACAAAATGTATTCAATCATATACAAACCGGAATTTTGCAGTTTATTGTAGCTAGACTTAACTTAAAACTACCAATTAAGAATCTATGCACAATGTAAATTCAAATATGTACAGTACTTTTAAAAAGTCTACAGGAATGCTTTACAGAAGGAAATGTCTGTTATGGCTATTATTCAGACCATCTGAATATTAAAATGAGTTTTCTAGTAGTAAATTTACACATTTATTTTTAAACAAGAGCAATTTTGTCCGTAGTTCATTTGAGAATATTCCAGTTATGTTTATACAAGTAATGGAGAAGTCATTACAGAGTTTAGCCCCATATAGTAGTTTGTTTATTATCAGGAAAAAGTATATTTCAATAATTTACCTGGGAAGATCAGTAAGTTAACAAAAGAACA